CGGGCCATGTCTGCCATCTTCTTGGAATTCGTCTCGTATTGTGGTGGAGCATCTGGATCTCCCACGTCTTTCTTAAGTCGGCTGACGATCTCGCGAGGTTTTGTGCGGTTGTTGATCGCCGTTCAGTATGAACCTATGACCTCACCGTATAGGCGCTGCCTGACTTGGGTGGTCAAGCGTGAGCCCGTGTGTATCTTCCTTCCAGTTGGTTCAATTTTTCCTGCAAGGCCGCGCAGGAGAGGGTTATTTCGTCCTCTGTCAGGTCATCATCAGCCTGGATGATATCAATCTTATTCATGATCTCCGCAATCTCTTCGACGATCCTCGGTACGACTATCTTTGCTCTTAACACTTACTGTAGTGTGAACCGCGCGACGTGGATCAAATTCTTTCCTTGCCTGTCTCGGAGTCCGAGAAGTTGAAGAACGGTGAGGCAGTACGCTTGCGAGATCCGGGTACTATCGGGAAAAGATGAGCAACGATTGCCATGAATGAACGCAGACACATTACCTTGGAAATCGACGTGGTCGTCTCAGATTTGGCTGAGTTTGGCATACCATGTGCGCGACGCGTCATCAGGCTGCCTTCTTCCCAGTTATTCATCTATGACCGTTGATCAGCAACACACTCATCATTGTGACTTCTATTTCTCTGATGGATCTGCTATTTTCAGTCTAAATGTGGGTCTCAGTCCTCTATTGGTCCTCTAGCAAAATTCTTGGGACTGAATGATCAACTTGGCGCGGCAGACAGAGGATGGGACTGTCTACTGTACTTAGAAGATCCAGATCCAGATTCACATCGGCTGCGCGGTAGGAGATCACCGGGCATCAAAGGGATTGCTCTGGCATCCACCCAGCCAACGCGTGCCCAGGACGCACTGGAAATTTAGGTGCGTGGCGGGTGCGTCGGAGGCACCTGAACTTCTAGTGCCTGGACTTTTGCCGCCTGTGAGACTGTAAAATAGTGGCTGTGTTTGCTCTCCTTCTGTGCGTTGGTTCGATTCTGTCATGTTGCTTTATTTTTCTTCTTCCATCTTTCACTTTCGCTGATGTAGTGGATAATTTCAAACCACCACCACCACCTGCCAAATACAATATGCCCCAAACTCTTCAAGGTACATTGAATCACCGTTGAATCCCGGTTTCTATTTTGCAATGCACTGCTCTGCCTGACGACCTTCTTCATTTTCATCGGATGAAATCACTATTTACACAAAGATTTAGGTCGTGGCGTAGATGCTGGTTCTTCAAAAAGGGGTCTGCAAACAAAACAATTTAGACTCGTCCGTCAGAGCAGCCTTAATAGGTTTCTAACTGCACACATGCCCTCCAACATCATGCTGTCTTCCAAGTTATCACTGGCCTCAAGGCGCAGAACAGTTAAATAGATTCTTCTTCAAGGACGACAACGATGACATTGGCAGTAAAATTCAGGATCTGTTACGTTCGAGCTATTGGCGTTCCTAAGTGGGACCGGCCATGTAATTCCTCCTCCTCCAGCCTCTCTACATAGACACACCGAGGAAGCGTGCAAGCTGGCGCCTGCGGTCTTGAAGTACGGGTGCTGAAGGGATGTGAGCAGAATACCAGGGCAGGAGGAGCGATGTGGCATACCATTAGGGAGGGGTTCAAGCGCATGGCCACCGGCAGCGAATGCATTGGAAGATGCAGTACAGTCCGCGACTGAGTAGTGATATCAATATGGTAGACTGAGAGACCGCCAGCCGGCACGTCTCACTTGTGAAAACCAGGAGCGCCTCGCGGGTCAGGGGGTGGGGAGCAGCCAGCGGGGTCATCGCCGGACCGACGAGGCCGCCGTTTGGTCCGGCTGACGCGTTGGCAAGTCGCATGGGCTGCAGGGCGAGGCTGGACGAAATCAGGCGCCCCGTAAATGGATTCGAGAGCACTCACCTAGCATTGAGATCCGCAAGTTGCTGCAGAACGGTGTTGTGGTTTGCCTGCGCCGTCGCATGGTTTGCCTGCGCCGTCGCGTGGTTTGCCTGCGCCGTCGCGTGGTTCGCGTTAACAGTCACGACGAGGGCGGCGTGGTTGGCTTGAGCAGTCTGGTGGTTGGCGGCAACCGTACCGGCGAGCCCATTGACTGTGGCGGTGAGTTGAGTCACGGCGGCGGTGAGCTGCGCCAGCTGCGCAGCAATGTTGATGGGACCGGCATTGGTAAAAAGCGCCGTTTCGTTACCGAGGAGGGTCATTTCCTGGGCGATGGTTGTGTACGCTGCGGACATACGGGGAATATTGGGTAGGGGTGCGGGGTTAGCCATGGTGGTAGTTGAAAGGCAAGACGTGAAGTACATAAACATCAACAACTTCGTCACCAAATCTGACACGTATGCATCACGTGCTGCACAGCCATCTCGGGTTCCGTGCATAGCCACCTGCAACCCAAAGGAATCCTTTCGAGCCTAGCCGAATGTACTGTACGGCTTATGTACTATGTCTATGGAGAGTCGTGCAATCAAGTTTGCAAGTTGCGGAAAGAAAGAGCAAAAAGAAAGAAAAGAGAGACTTACCATGTGCTTTAGATTGTATTCCCGAGAAATCAGAGCTCCTGAGTCACCGTAGCGCGTGCAGTAATCTTGATTCTGCTATCTCAATTCGGCAGATCAAACAGAATCAAGATGGGGCATCAATGGGGCATTACAGCTGTTGCGGAAAATAATGAGACAAACCGTTTTTTTTCGATCGCTTCCCAAAATGGAAGTGGGCCACTTTCGGACTACCCGGGCTTCCTGAGGCTTTCCTAGGTTTATTTTCTACTAGATTTCCTTCCTAAGACACTCAGCCGTCCCTCTGAGTGCACAAAGATGTGCTGAAAAGGCACGTTTTGGACCTCATCGGACATGATCGGCTCAAATGGCGGACCGAAATCCGAGTCCAAAAAGAGAATGATCGGAGGTTTCGGGAGCCGTCGGCAAGGCCTCTGTGTGGCCTCAACTACCCGGAAGGAGTCCTGGAGACGAAATAGGACCTCCAGAATCACCCCTCCTGCTCCCAACCACCGAGTTCATCTCAAATTCAGCCAAAAGCCGGATGTTTCCATTTTGGGAAGCGATTGAAAAAAAACTTGACAGTCTCATTATTTTCCGGAACAGCTGTGACTAAGTCTTTTCGGAGCAACGAGCTGTAGCACCTGCGTCTTCGACAGGGTCGGTGTCGAATTGAACGAATTATATGGTATGATCTGTGACGAAACAATCGGCGGCGCTGAGCGCCACTTCAGTAGCCTCAATTCTGACACCTCGCGAACCCACCATCGACAATAGTGTTGCCGGGGTTCGGTTCGGCTCGGTTCGGTTTTTTCCAAAATTTCCCGAACCCCGAACCTATATGGGGTCACGTTCAACCCGGAACCAGGCCCGTTTATCCCCGGTCATGTACCATCTGATCGATATATCAGATTTTCAGTCGTCACAGGAACGATATCCTCACATGTTATCGAGCTCCTGCGGACAACACCCAAAGAACGAGTGCCTGTAGACAGGTCGCTTCCCTCCCTACGTATGATGTATGCGTATTCCTCGTGCCCTCCAACGGGTTTGCACTATCCCAAGCCGCGGAAAATATTGCGGTTCCCGGTGTATTCTAGGAATCGGAAACAGCGTTGCCAACCTCAGAGCCGAACCCCTTGGGTGGTGCGCGGGTACGGGTAAAACCCGCGGGTTTCCGGGTTGGATCGGGCGGGTTCGGGTGCGGGTCGCGAGGCCTTGGACCCGCCCAATACCGTCGTCACCCGAACCGCAGGTATTTCGGGATTTTGGGTAACCTCTGCCCAAGGGGGACTCAAAAATCGAATTTTGGAATCAGGTCGAAAAGAGGCTGGCCATCGATATCTCGAGGTTCCATCTTCATCCGAACCTTCGTCGTTGAGATAAGGACATTTTGATCGCAAGTCTGAATATTTTTTCTAATTCTTTTTGCATTTTTCCCGAAACGAACGCATGAACTACCTCCGCCAAAATTCCTGGATTTTGGGCTGATTTACTCTATATTTTGACGTTCCCACGGGTCTGGAGTCTCCAAAAAACCAGTTTTCTCCCTGTAGTCCTGGAACTGCTTAGTTTTGAGCCTCCGCATCGCTGCAGATAGGTCAAACCCTCTGGCGCTGGCTGATTCTCGAGATAGACCTTTTCAAACCGTCGGCGATTTACTCTATGGCCCGGAGGTAGTTCATAGTGACCGGGGGCCTACCGTTGATCATTGTCGATCAGCACCACATCCGCTTCCTCCTACTTCCTCCTACTTCAAGTTTGCAGCCGAATGGAGTCGACGAGGTGTTTCAGAGCTTCATGAAATTTGCTCTGGTGGTGTAATGCGTTTGCCACGACGTGCTTGATACTGGCGGCGATTATTTGTTGTCCTTCAGAACCGAAACTGAAACGATAGGAAAGTAGCTGGGAACCCATCGGTCCGAGAGAATGGAATACTTTGTAATCCATGTGTTTCCTCTGATTCCGTGCGCTCTCAACGGTGAGTATCACAAAGACATCGCCGAGTGCCTGTATGCGCTCAGGAATTTCAGTGTGAAGTCGATTTTGAGAGATCAACCCCGAGCATGGGTCATCTCGACAGAATGTCGGCGCCTGTTTTCTGAGCTCGAACCATATCTGGCGGGTGAGTTTCGAACCTCCAACGGTAGTTTCCTCTCTTCAAGGCAAGAAAATCGTGATTGCGCCTGAATAGATTGGCGATTATGTGAGGAGGTATGTTGGCCAGACGGACATCAATGATCCGGTACGTCAGCAAGAAGATCCAAGACGATTCAGGCACAAAGGAGAGTGGTGGGATATTTTGTCAAGGAAGAACAATTGTATTCTTTCCTTCAAATCGCCAGGGGGTGTCACGTGACTGGGCGGGGGGAAAAAAAAATCCGTATTCACGGAATCTATGAAAATGGCTGTAAATCTTCCAGGACTATGACCTACACATCAAAGTTCACTGGTGCGCACGGATCGGGCTTTGTTTTTAAAAAATCATGAAGTACGGCCCCGGGAGGATTCGAACCTCCACCTCGCATTTACGTCATATTGAAGGAAGAACATGTAAATTGTAGTGGGCGATGTGCCTTCATCCACGGGGCCTCTTTCCATTTAACCCGGTGCTAGGTTATGCCAAGGACTGGGTCATGCTCCACAGGACCAACTAGGTTCTATTTGCATAGAATCTGAAATACTCACAAATAAGCACTGCGCAAACTCCGCCGCAGAACAACACGGGCCAGCGCAGCACATTTCACGCTCTACAAAATGCCGGCCATTTGAATGCCTTTCACCGATGGCGGTGTCCGATACCAGAATCGGATACCAGCGGAGTTTAAAATGCACGTGGTCTCGGCCCGTCAGTGTTGGAATAATAAAAGTGCATTTTGACCGCCATAAACCTGGATCTCCATTGCGCGGAAAAAATTCCAACAGTAGAGTAGTCAAGGAATTGTCAAGAATATTGAGTAGGTTTCAAAAAATTTCGGGAGGGACCCCCATTCATCCATAGATTGACAAAAAACTATTACAGCGGCAACTAATTGGTGATTGTAATGCTCGCGTTCATCTAGATATATTCCAGAGCAATCTATGCGTAAGGAACACTTGGTTTACATAATCCATATGTCAATTTCCTGGCTTAGGTCCTAATATTAAGTTTACACGCTTCCGCTTCGGTATATGGGTATCTTTCGGGGCTTGATTTCTTTACCTCCTTGACCCGGGGAATTTTGAAGATATGCAGCGGATCGCTTATTACCCTACTTATTACCCTGGACTGGATCTGCGTGAAACCGAGCCCCCAAGGAAACAGTGGCAACGCCTGGAGATGGTATAGGAGGGTGAGGAAAGCCATATTTGAAGACATTTTGATGATACTCGAGTAGTGGGATGTATAGGCTTTATTTACACGGATAGAAGGGGTATTATAGACACTATTTACACCGACATCGGCGTTTTGTCTCGAGTTCACGGTGGCTACGGAGGGGCGGTTTGGGGCGGGTTTGAGCAAGGGGAAGCAGCGAGGGAGCAGTGGGTGTGTTATCAACTCAAATTTGGACCAGTCAGGCCCACAGGACGCGCCCGCAACAGACGGTTGCTTGCGGTCAGTTGTTTGTTTGTGTCCACGTCAAGGCACAAATATTTGGCCCCCTGGCCCTCATGTATTGTTGATGGTGGGTACGATAACGAGATTAGAGACCTCTTGGCTCAGCCCTTCCTCTGGCTTTCCTGGCAATCTCCTCTGTCAGATTTACTTCCTTAAAGACCCAAAAATGTTTTTTGGTCGCTAGATGTGCCCCGGGTGTGCACAGACAAGCTGAAAGAGCGGTTTTCGAAGGGTATCGGACTAGTCTGTTGTTAACCGCGCCACCGTGTTTGGTGGCCGCATTATTATATAATCGTCGGAGTTTGAAATTTTGCCATGCCTATTTAGCACTTCCAGGACCCCCATCCTCAAACTTTGAGAGAGGAAGGAGATTTAAATCCATGTCTGACCCAAAATATGTCTTCAAATTTTTATTTTTCAACTTCCATTCTCGCGGAATAGAAAGTGTTGGGATTTAATAATGCAGCTCGGCCTTCGGGCAATTGATTGATAAGATCATTAGTAATACAGACAGTTGTAGATACACGTAGAATATTCTAGTTACAATTTTTGTGGTATATAAGCTTGCAGTACTATCCTGCTAGAGCATCTGATTGCTCTAAAGCAGCCTTCTAATCATCAGTGCTATTGCAATCTTACCTTACCTCTTATTCTAATCTCGCCCTCCCCGCTTTTACTCCAACAGAAAGAGCAGATTATGTCAGGATTTGTCATTTGTTGAGCCATCAAAGTTCAAACTCCTGGTTCTTCGACTCTGCCGCTGCGAGTTAGGTGAGAAAGTTGCTCAATTTATGCTAATGAATACTAATGTGACTTCATATTTGTGAAAAACTTGTTCTGGAATGCATACCAGCATCCGAATTGTTTTTGTGATTTATAATAATGCGGCCAGCAATCGACGCATCAACCTTTTCGACAGACTACAACATGCGAGGTACGAGCACTCTATTGTTGTAGCGTCTGTTTATAAGAGACTAGTATCAGACATCATCGGCTTAATCACGGACCGTAGCCCGAGTCGAAAAGGGGTACTATCGGAAACTTTCGGCACTCACTCTGGAAAATTGGATGTTTCAGGGCATCCAAAAACGTTTCTGAAACCATTAGTATCGATAAGAGAATAAGAAGTCCCGAAATTGTACCTGAAATGTAAAGTTTTTGTGAAACTGAAATGGTAACCGAAACGGAAAGTTTTGGAATCAGTATCCGACGGCCCGAAACTTTCCGTATCAGAAAAGATTTCTACCCGCCCAAAACTGTCCCTGAAACTAATAGTTTCAGGAGGAGTTTATTGTGAGCTGAGAACAATGATATCAGTTACAGTTTCGGGTGTTCCCGACACTTGTTTTCAGGTTCCCCGAAACGGATAGGTCGGCCCCGGCCCGCCCCGCGGGTCGAAATCTTTTCTGATACGGAAAGTTTTGGGCCATCGGATACTGATTCCAAAACTTTCTGTTTCAGTTACCATTTCAGTCACGCAGAAACTTTATATTTCAGGTACGATGTCAGGACTCCCTAATCTCTTACCGATACTAAAGGTATCGTATACGTTTTAGGGTGCCCTGATATATCACATTTTCCGGAGTGACTAGTCCGGGATGTCTCCAGAGCGTCGGCGTGCACTCGACCGTCTGGTAAAGGTGTCCTAGAACTGAATCAGACCTTCAATGCCCTGGAGCAACACTCTTGTCGCTCCCGGCCACCAAATCCATTCAAAATCGGATACTTCCGTTTTGGGAAGCGATCGGGGAAAAAAAAACGACAAGTCTCATTATTTTTCGGAACTGCTGTAACTCGGGCATGCCGTACGGAGTTTTGAACAGTGAGATCAAGTATGTGCCACAAACTAATTGAAATCTCAGGTCAAGTTCAAGATGTAAACCTGTGTCTGGTTTCGCGCCATTTCGGTCAGCCTATAAACGTGAGGTGATAAGTTTGAAACCGGATCTGAGGAAAGAATGAAGGTCAATAATTGCGTGTACAGTACCTCGCTTCAAGTGAGTAAATATTAGGAACTCATACCCATGTTCAAGCGACGGACGTACCTATCCGGAATAGATCAACAGCTGAGGATGGGCAGCAATTGTAATGATTTTTCCAGCACCCTGGTCGTGAGTCTTGGGTCTAAACCCGACGTAGATCGATTGGTATATTCATCCACCAGCATATCGAGCATACCACAGGCTGGTCGATCTGAGTTTGAATTTCCAGTGCAAATAAGTTACCGAAAAGGGTTATTCACATTCAAAGTAAATTCCGCTTTATCCGAGGCACATCAGTGGTCACGAGGCCTGTAAATCCTGCAAATCAAGATCAATTTACGGTAAATTGATTGGACATAAGTGCTTATCTTCCCTTATGTCACTTATTGTGGGGGAAACGACAGAATTGTGCGTCCTGGACTTCATTTCTCATCATTTTCCTCTGGGATTGTCCCTAGCATCAATATAATTGGTATAGCAAGAACCCAGTGGTTACAGGTATTTTTTACTGTATGGACTTCTCTAGCAGAATGCATCACCAGGGAGTGGCTGTGCAGATCACAGGGGCCATGGCTGTGGGTGGCGGTGCGATAAGAGTGGTAGGTGGCTGTGTGATAAGACCATAAATTATAGGAACTAAGTAGGCTTGTCTCAGGAAGAGGTCGAACTGGAAATCCCGTCCCGATTGGGACGTGGGAAAAAGCATGGGGGATCACGGGAAACCGAGTTCCATCAACTTATGTAGGCGAGGTGACAACGAAATCAGACTCCATATATTGTTCATCGACTATCCTTGAATATGTGGAGCTGGTTACAGGAGACTAACATTCGGCTGATCTCGAAAAAACATTCGGACTGCCATATACAGTGGCGGCCAAAAGTAATGGACACGGGTGTTTGTGGAGCACGACCATCAACCTCCTCCATTGCCGTGGCTGTGGACGTAGATGTAGATGGCGCTGCAAGTTGCTGGTCGGGGGATCCAACTCGAGTCGAGGCTCGACTCGACTCATCGAGTGACTCAATCACCGAGTCGCCGGGTTCGAAAGGCTCTGATCGATCGATCATGCAATCTTGCCCCCATTTAGTCACATGAGTGATCGAGAGAGACACGAGTGAGTGAGTTTTAAGACAGCAATCATGCCTGGCTGCACATGCATTTGTTCCAAGTTCTCACTCTCACGGAGGAGTTACTTGCAACATCAGTAATCAGTAGCGCAAGACCGTTTCGTTTTCTGGAAATGGATGAGCTCGTTTGAATCACTTCAACACCCCCAGTACCGCCTCAACCTCTGTCCACTCAAGCAACATCGGTTTCGACGACACCTCTTCCTCCCCCTCCTGTGCCATCTGCCCACGATTCCCAGTCCCAGACTGGTGCAAAATCGCTTCCACCGCCTCCTCCCAACACATCGGGTGATAAAAAGGGGGCCAAGCGAGCGAGGTATGCCGAAACTAGTATACTCATGCGATTCAATGGCCTGATTAGATTGGTATTGAGGGTACGAGAGGAGCCTGCCCAAGACTTGCATCAGCCGCCGATTAAACAGATTAAACAGATTAAACCCTGCACCTCCCGGTATATTCGAACTTTCTGAGTAGTTCTTCGGCGACTATTTTTTTTTTTGTGCTCAGTGCTCAGAAGACTGGGGATGAACCTCCTGCAGTGGTTCAGCGGAGATCCACTCGGGCTCCTTGGACCAAAACACCGAATCCTGCTCAAAAATCCCAGGGTCCTGCTCCGAAGCAGAACAAGAAGAAGTGAGTAAATCCATGTTCAAATCATTTGCTTGAGCATTGAGTCCCCTTCACCAGATGGCCTGGGTGGGCTGTGATTGATTCGAATGGGAAAGAGGTGCGATCTTCAGCCAGCACGAACGATGCCGACATCTCAGAGCACTCGGACACGGTCGACCATACCGCGCCCCTCAACTTCTGGGCTGTGCGCGAAAGTGGAAGTGGATGAAAACGGCGTCCACTTCCTCCATGAACCTATTACGGGCATGAAGATT